ACACACACACACACACACACACACACACACATTGAATAATATGAACAATATCTTCAGTCACATTTTAAATCAGTTTTGCTCATAAGTGCTATAGTAGTCTGCTACTACTCATTTGTTTCTGCTCTTAAACAGACCTTTGTGAACTTTGCTCACACTTTCACAAATAAAAGCATTCTGTCCATCTTTTCCTGCCTCTCACTGGCACTTTAAGTGTTATTTGCCATGCGCTTCTGAAATGTGGAGTCAAGCATGTGATGGGTAATCAAATGGAAGACTCTTACGCTCACCTCAGAACACAAACTCACACAAGATCTCGCTCACATCCACAGACATCCAGACATGTACATGCACCAGAGGGGAAGATCATAAGGAATACTTGTTTTGTTTTAGCTAGTGGAAGTTGGCAGACAGTAAAGGCTATTATTATCATGTTCCAGCAGTTTTAGCCACTCAGAGAGAAAGAAAATGAGAGAGAGGATGAGAGCGAGAGAGTCTCTCCTCAATATCCTTTAAAGTGGCTACTGGAACCACAGCACACTCTAATTTACTGTTTACATTGTCATTCAGCATACAGAAAAGCATATGTACATATTGGACACTTCAGTGGCCTCTCAAAAAGTGCATGAGAGATGACCAATTCCAGAGCCATGAGAAAGTACGAATGGTATTTCAAGGCACTTCTCACACCAATGAAAAGCTGACCTGCTCAGGTGACTGGAAACTGCAAACCTTGTATCAGTAAGTTATCAGTATTTGATTTGATAAATTGTTTAACAACAATTCCAATTCCAGGTTTTGGTTAACTAACCTCATTTTTTGGTCTAGCCCCAGCAGTTCCAGAGGGTCCTGATGAAGACAGCGATGATGAAGAGCGATAAAGTGGGGTGTTTAGAGACTGGGAGGAGGCTGAAAGACTTCCTGATGAATCCAGCATTTCTAAATCAACTTCCTGTTTAGGAAACGAGTAACATTGTCTTACTTTAAACATAAAACACATACTTAACAATTGATGAATTTAAATTTATATTTACTTGACATAATATTTACTAAATTAGAAATAATAAAAAATAATAAATATGAAAAAAAAATGAAATAAAAAAAATCGGTAAAAATAAACTGATTTTTTATGCAGTCTACAAATGCACACTTCAGAAGATCTCACTGTTGGATTCAACAAAGTTTGCAAGGTTTGTGAAAATAAATGTTCATTAGATATTCAAAGACTTTAAATTATAAAAATGCATAATTACTGAATGCTTACTTTTTTTTTTTTTTACTAAATTCTGTAATTCTTCTCTGTATACCATTTACTTTCTTTGTTTAACAGTTATGTCTAATAATTTATTGTTACAGAGACGAGTAAATTACTAACTAACGTTTTATCAAAAGTTCTGTGCACTGTCAAAATAAAAGTCCTGCTTCCAACATAATGGCCTATGCCGTTATTAAAAAAATGCCAAACACTGGCCAATATATTGGCCAACCACTAAATAATTTTACTTAGATTTAGTGCTGGTACTGAAGTTCTGGTGCGTTGATGACGATTATTTCATTATTGCAAGATTTGAGATGAAATTAGTGTATCACTTGCATGAAATCTACTGATTGGTGGCCACTCACAGAGATGATCTGCCTCTTTAAATTGGGAGTGCTATTGAGGGAGGAGCTCAGAGCATTCTCAATCTCTTTGTCCAGCTGATCCAACTTCATTATTAACAGAACCATAGAGTCCAAACTTGACCTTTCCTTCTCCCTCTCCTCCCGTGAGCTCTGAAATGAGAAAAACAGTTTTGTATAATCAAATTTTATTTGAGAAATGTAATCTTAAAACCAACACTGGCATTAATCTGATTGCTCCCAATGACAATTCTTAAAACATATGTCACAGCAGACCAGGCGGCGACTCGGATGAAGACGAGACTTTTCCATACAAACTAAGGCAACACTTCATTAAATCGAACCTAACCTTTTTTTTTTACTCTCAGTGGTGGCTAATGCTATTAAAGGAATAGTTCACCCAAAAATAAAAATTCTGTCATCATTTACTTATATCATTTTTTTGTGAGTCTTTCTTTTGTCAATAGAAAACAAAATATATTTTTTGAATGGCCAAGTTCCTCCCAACAGAGAATACTATGAGGGACTACATCTTACATATAAATTTGATTAAAAATAAATACACACGCATACATATTTTGAATGCTAGTATGTGGTTTCCATGCCAAAAAAAATAAAATTATAAAATTATAAATTATTATTTATAGTACTTATATTGCATTCTTGACCAAAAAGGGATCAAAATGAGCTGAAGACAATAGAAGCCTTTTTTTTAAATATTAAAGCACTAGCACAGAACTACAGAGAGCGAGTGGAAGACAGAAGTGGTAATGCTACTCAAGCAGAGAGGAATGATGCTGGCACTTGCCCCATGTCTGAACCAGGCCTGTGCAAACAGCCCCACACAAAGCAGTGCAGTGTGTAAAGGGCTTGCGTAGCTTTTTCTGGTATTTACCCTTAATACACGCTTGTCTATCACAGAGCACACAGGGAGAGAATAAGAGACAGAAAGAGAGACACTTTACTAATGAGCTAACAAACATACAAGCCATTGTCCAATACACACGTTTTTTCTCTCCAGTTTGCTCAACTTGGTTCTGTCTAGCTCCAAAAATCACCATAAAAGGAGTCCATATGATAATTTTATAAGACTCACATGTACTGTGTATTATTTAAAGGGATAGTTCGCCCAAAAATTAAAATTACCCCATTATTTACTGACCCTCAAGCCATCCTAGGTGCATATGAAAATCTCAAAATCTTGACCCCCATCCACTGCCATTATAAAGCTTGGAGGAGCCAAGACATTTTTTTTTAATATAACTCCAATTGTATTTGTCTGAAAGATTAAAGTTATATACACCTAGGATGGCTAAATCATGGGGTCATTTTCATTTTTGGGTGAACTATCCCTTTAATATATTTACACTACAGGCTATTAAGTATTCTTATTAAGCCATACGATAGCTTTACATGAGAAACAGAGTGAAATTGTAATCCTTGTATGATGTTGTTTTCATACATAACAAGCTAAAAAAACACTGTGCTTTCAAATGTAAACTCTTTTTTTCTCTTCTATTCATAAGGATGAATCTGAATAACACATTATCGTGCTACATATGACACATCAGCTGACAACAGGTCTAGAGAACAGGAGAATCTCACACATTCATCCTGACAGATGTACACAGTCTTGCGAAAACACAAAGGTGCCTATGAACATGCATATAATCAGGTTTCTCATTCTGCTTTGAATGTGTGTAGTGTGCTTATTTAGAGCACTTTGTCACAGAGAATACTGTTTGTTTTGGACTGTTCTTGGTCAGCAGAGTCAGACAGAATGGAATCTGTTTCACATCAGCATAGTGCACAGTCAAAGAGTAACATGTTATTTGTCATCTCTTATCTATTCCTGGAGATACACAATGATAAAATGTAAATGATAAATTCTTGGAATTTTTATATCAGCAAATAACTATAAACAAATACATTATTAAACAATAAAAAAACAAAAAAAAAATGTTTGAAATTCTGAAGTTGTCATTTAAGGAATATGTTTTTTTAAAAATGATTTATTTTTAAAGTTGATATTTTAAAATTATTTTTGTTAATATTTTAAATTATATTTTATTTATATATTATATTATATATTGACTTTCTTGTGTGCTTTTGTCATTTTTTAAGTATGTCTACATAGTTTTATCCAGTTTTAGTTTATTTAGTTTTATTTATTTTAGTTTTAGTACTGTATTTATCACATTTTCTAATTTAAATGAAAATGAAAAATGCTGCCTTTCAATTAGCTGAAATAAAATAAGTTTAAGTTTATATTTTAATTCAGTTATTGTTTATTTTATTTAAAATACATAATTATTTAAATTTTATTTTAGTTTTAGTTAACAACTGTAACCGTCACTAGCTAATTAACTAATATAAATAAATATATTTATAAATGATTTATATAAATAATATATAAATAAATACTTTTTGCTATATAACGTTTTAAATTCTGAAACAAACAAACAAATAAATGTAGAAATGTAAAAACAAAGTTTATATCACTTTATATAACTAACTAAACAAACACTAGCTTTTTTTGCATAATACTTTTAATATTCTGAAGTTATAATTAAATGCACAGTATGAATGCACTTAGCAAAGATTAATCACAAACGAGACATCTTTCAAAGCCAGATGGTTTCTCCTAGACACTAATGAGTTTAAACGGAGAGCAAACATAGACTTTTGCTTAAATCTCCTGCTTGTCATATTTTCTCATGAGAAGGCCACCCTAGCTGGTGGCCGCAATTGATTTAAAATTCACCAAATTCCTGCACGTAATGCATGAGAGTGTGCAGTGATTGAGCTACTGAAAGATTCCTCCTGATTTGTCTTGCTTCCTTGCTGTCTTGTGTGTGATATCAGGTGTTACACTGACCTCAGGTGGTGTGCTTTTAGTAAGACACTACAGCTGTAGACATTCGGTCGCCGTGATTTTGCCAAGCAAGACATGTTCCTGGATCAACATCTTTTGTTGATCCTGGATCAACATCACTGTCCTAAAAAACAGACTTAACCCAATACCTACCCCTAAACCTAACCTTACCCATAATGTATTCCTAAAATTAGTGTGAAATGATAGGTGAATAACAAGGTTGTAGAAGCACCTAACCCTGATTGTAAGCCTAAAATTTCCTAAAATGTTATCTCTCAGTTCTGATTGGTTGATTGGAATGATGTTCCAGGATCAACAAGGATGTTGATCCAGTAACATGTTGTACTTGGTGAAATCACGCTCACCATAGACATTCTACAAGAAACATACATGCGCTTCACTATTAGAAATGCTTCAACTTCGGAAGATTTTTAAAAAGTTGACATTTATTCAAGGTTGTTTTTAATTAATTCATTGTATTGTTTTTATTTATTTTTGCTTTGGGTTTAAAAAACACATTACAAATAAAATGCATTATTATTATTATTATTATTATTATTGGTTCAGAAAATAAGGGCAAGTGGGGCAAAATGTCCACATAAATGTTAAGCATCCATAAGTATTCTATTCTAAGCCTAGCTATACATATGCACTACAAAGATGTAATATTCCCTAATTATGCAGATGAAAAATATATTTACTATAACTGATATGGTTAAAAATGCCCAGAAAATCGAATCCAGGTGGCAAATGGTGCCCATTAATGGAGAAAGCAGACATTCTCTGTCATTTTCTTTGAAATCTGTCATTTTCTCCTTTTCTGTCCCAAAGGCCTTTTTTTTTTTTGTAAGGATTTGGAGTTTTTCTAGGACATTTTGAGACATTTCATTGCTACAAGGACAGCAAAGCATGAACACACACACGGACACAATCTCACACACAAATTCTACACTCATAAAGCACACCTCTCACTACAGTGACCTTTCCTTGACATTTTGACTACGCATCTGCTTGTGCTTCCATATAAAGTGTGAAACTGACTAAGTGCATTTTTATTTGAATGTTACACTGAGACACTTTTCTCAGTGATTTTCATTGCTGCTTTTGCTGTTTCTTATTTGTATGCCATTTCACTTGCACCAAACCTGACAAACCCCAAAATCATAATATGAAGTAAAAATGTTTTAATTAAAGAAATAGTTCACTCAAAAATGGGGTGAACTGTCCAAAACAGTCCAAAAAGCAGATAAAAGCATAAAGCAGTAATCCACATGACCCCAGTCAATCAATTAACATCCCATGGCGTGAAAAGCTGCTAGTTTGTAAGAAACAAATCCATCAAGGCATTTTAACTTTAAACCATCACTTCTGGCCAAAATAGGAGTCTATAATCCATAATAAGACTTCCTTCAGCGAAAAAGTCCATCCCCTATGTCTTCTCACATCAAATTCCAAAAACATATTTGTTTACAAATGTTTCAGACTGTTTCTGATTATAAGCGGTGTTTGATCTGTGCATATTTCTTTCCTGACTCAGATGATGTGATTTTTTTTTTTTTTTACTGGAGAAAGCAATATAATGGAAAGAGGACTCACATTTTAGTTGAAAGAAACAATTTTAAATTAGAAAGGTCTTAATTATGGACTTGTTTCTTACAAACATGCAGCTTTTTGATTCACAAGATGTTAATTGGTGGACCGGAGTGGTGTGGATTACTTGTGGATTATTGTGATGTTTTTATCAGCTGTTTGCACTGTCATTCTGACGGCACCCATTCACTGCAGAGGATCCATTGATGAGCAAGTGACTTCATGCTACATTTCTCCAAACCTGTTCAGATGAAGAAACAAACTCATCTACATCTTGATTGGCTTTACAGCACTTGTTTTTTTTTTTTTGGGTGAAGTATTACTTTAAAAGGATTTAATTTTCTGTGGAGACGTGCTGAAATCGCGTTTGGTCTCATACTGTATCGCATACCTTGTCAGTGTTATGCGATATTTATATATATGTACATGTATATGTGTGTGGCTGTACATACACATATGTAGTTGTTTTTTGGTGTTTGGCTTAGTGTTATGTTAGAATCATTATTATACTTAATTTATTTTGTTTTCATTTAAATGTTTAGTTTTGAAATGTTGTTCTTAAATGTGTATATATATATATATATATAGTATTTATAGAGTTTTAGCTTTTAGTTTTAATTACTTTTTCTTATTTGTAAGTCGCTTTGGATAAAAGCGTCTGCTAAAGGACTAAAAGTAAAGTAAAGTA